TAACAGAGTCGACGTGCTACAAGTTATTCCAACAAGGCCAATACAGCCTGTTCGTTGTTACGTCCAGCCGATATCAGACTTGCTGGAACAACTTGTTGCGAGTCTGTTTGCCTCATCAACCTTGTTACAAGATGATAACAACTGGGAACAAGCAGTGCGAACACATCTTGTTGACATGTTGTGATTTTTACGCGTTTATGTGAGAACGGTTTTGATTGGCTGAAGTGCGTGGTCAATAATAACTCGTCTGAGCACGGCAAAAACTATGATGCGGGAGTATTTTTTGCGTTATGTTATCAGTCTATAAATATAATTCGTTGAACAAAAACATTGAATTCCGTTGAATTTTGACTGACAACTGAATTTATTTTATAGTCCAGTTAATCTGTGACCAGGGGTCAAAGAAATTGCAATATAATTTTTTTCAGTGGTAAAATATGAGGGAAGGTGTTCTGATTAACATGCTAAAAATAAAAATAAAATCCCTTCGGTGGAACATGGTGAAAATCGAGTTTTTCTTACTTCTACCTATAGAAAACCATTGTGGACAGAATGTTGAAATTTTGAAATCATTTTTAGGCAAATGTAACCTACATTATTGGAAAGCTTAGAAAAAAACTAAAATATAGATCATTAAACGGTTATATTCAATTTACTGGTCAGTTTGTCGTTATTCTAGCTCAAAGTTGGAAAAATAGTGCCAAATTTGCACAAAATACAAATTTATGGCATTTTAAATCTTGTATAACTTCGGCTGGATAGGCAAAAGCAAGATAACCGTTTAATGATCTATATTTTAGTTTTTTCTAAGCTTTCCAATAATGTAGGTTACATTCGCCTAAAAATGATTTCAAAATTTCAACATTCTGTCCACAATGGTTTTCTATAGGTAGAAGTAAGAAAAACTCGATTTTCACCATGTTCCACCGAAGGGATTTTTTGGGATTTTTAGTATGTTAATCAGAACAACTTTTCTCACACTTTACCACTGAAAACAAATCTATTGCAATTACTTTGATCAGGACCATGTACTTATAGTGATTTGACTGGACTATAAGTTGAAGATACATGCCTCGGCAAATATTATGTAACTCATAATTTACACAACTCTAATAAACATGACCTCCTAACGAGTGGAGCAGGGTTCTGATTTCAAGGTTGATGAGCTGTACCATATAATTACGCCAAATTGACACCAAAATATATTCTTTAACGCACATATACGGATTATGGAAAATTCTATTCTAAGCCCATGTATTCTACGCTACTCAAATCAGCCCAGCTCGTATGAATAGCCCCCCTAAAGCCCGCTTTTCATTAGGAGAATATGTTCGCGCGAAGCGACTTTTTGCTTTGTCAGCATCGCCTTTGCGACGCGAGAAGCGATGCCAATAAAGGAAAAAGTCTTTTCGGGCGAATAAATTCGTTTACTGGAAAAAGAGCTCAGTAGGTTTCGCTAAGTTTATACTACAGTAACATGATGGTCAACTCCAAAAGGAAAGGCAGTTTATACTGGCCTAGTGATTAAGTTGTTCACTATATGTAATGACCTTGTGTTTGGTGGCATATGCATGTAACAGAAACATTTACCATCTCACTTCTTCGTTCCTGTAATCAATACATTTGAATGCGACCACCATGTCATGTGCAGCACAGTATAAAAGACACAAGGAGTCATCAATAATTATCAAGATTTGCACAAGCGTACAAACCGTACGCTGGGAAGGGGACTTATGGCCAATGTACGCTTTTTACAATGTCGGTGATAGACTCATCATGGTCATAACCGAGGTCCAACAATGAACTGTCTGTAGGCTTGTGAAAATGTGCATAATTATGGATGACTCGTTGGTGAAACGCTCTATCACTAGGCTATAAAACGTCAGTACAGTGTAAAATGTAAAGACCGAGAAAACTAGGAAATAGTGATGGAAACATTTTGAGAATCTTCATGCCTCCTTCGGTGTTCCCCTGTTCACCAACCCTTGGACACATTGTTGTTGGAACGAAGCGAAGTAAGAGTGTTTCCAACAAATTCACAAACATATCTTCTATTTGTCAACTGTGATTCTGTTGCAGAAGCAATGTTTCCTGGTTCGGTCACGTTCGGGAAACATGGTTGGAAAACAAAGTTTCTTTCTTTGCACATATTCGAGAAATATAGCAAGTAAACAACGATTCTTGGTCTGGCCGACTTCAGGAAACATGGTTACAGGAAACAATGCCTAGATCTCCCAACTTCAATAAACTTGGCTAGTAAACATTTTTTCTGCTTTGCCCAATTTATGGAAACGTAACATATCGAGGAAACAATGCTTTTGGCTTTCCCACTTGCGGGAAACACGCCCAGAAAACATTTTCTGGTTTGCCCAAATTTGAGAAACATGTTTAGGAAATGATGTTTCTTGGTTGGTCCAATGTCGAGAAAGATGTGTAGAAACAAGTTTCTCTGATTTGTTCAATTTTGGAAAACCTGGTTTCCTGGTTTGTCTACCTTCGTAACCTTCGGGTAACATAGATAGATAACAATGTTTCCGCCACAATATTTCCTAGTTTGCTAGGGCATAAATGGGCCCCCTATGTTACATTGTACTGTACAATAATACACATATATGCGCTATTGACTAAATGTTATACCGCTCATAGAGTCTCCCGCCATTCCAAAATCCATAGATTCTGCAAAGTCCGCAGCCGCAGTCTCCATATCAAGGAACGACATTCCTGTGTCCTCTTGTTTTATCAACCGCGTGTCTGTGGGATTACCGAATATATCGCTGGGATTTACATGATATATTGAATTGTTTTGCACATTCTGAGTTCTAAAGTTTTCAAAACTATCTCTTCTGTAACCGTTCGCATCCAGAACGCTTCTCTGCAGCAAGTCAACATCATCACTGTCTACTCTCATTGGAGACCCGGGGATGGGTAATACACCATCCTCTATATTGGGCGATGATATTTTACGTTGAGTGTGGTTTATATTCACCGGAGATGTATGGTCATGGTAGCCGTTTAGTAGTTCATTGGTGTTAAAAGTACCAGAAGTAGGGGACTGCAGACTGTTTTGTATCGCCTCTTGGTACGAGGGTAGGTTGGTAGTCGGTGATCTTGGGGCTTTTGGAGAGGAGTTGGTGTAGTGTCTTCCAGAAGAAGGAAAAGGGGAGTAAGCGTTTAAGTTTGGACTACTTCCCGTGAGTACGCCGCCTGCAGCTGCACTCGGAGGAAATAATGTATCTAAATGTAGATGATTTATACAGTTAGTGCTTAAATTATAAATGATTGGTTAGTTTGGGCTCATGTGGATTTAGATAAGTGCAATGTATCTCGTTTCATTGTATTAATGACCGTCGTCGATGCATTTCCGTCATGGTTGCTCACGGTTCCCAATGTTCTGCCAACTGAGCTACGCGATCAGGTCGGTTCGAGTAAGTGATATTTCGGAACAGAATATAGTTCCTTCGATATCAATGTAATCTAGTAAGTTGGCAGAGCATTGGGCTAGTATTCCAAAGGTCGTAGGTTCGATTCCCACCGTGGACAGGCATATTTTTCAAGTTTGCCCGGTGTGGATATACACTCAGAGTAACATCACAAACATCGTATATTCACCTGAGTACATTACACCAACACAGAAAAAATCACTACAAACAGTTTCTCCCAGGTCAATCTCCTGAGCTTATTCCAGAAAATGGTGCCGGATTTGAATTCAAAAGATGAGTTGCAACAGGTTGCAAGAAGTGAAGCGACTCTCAATCTAACTTTACCAAGTAACATTATTTTTAAACACGCGCACAAATAGAATTAGTCTTAGGTACACGCACGGACAAAACTAGCTTTGAGGACACGGACATGTAAGCGATTTACTGACACGAAGAAAAGCAAAAATGCGGCTTAGAGACAGTTCCGTTACAAAAAATACAATGAAGTGTTGAATAAAAGATACAATGGATGGACGCAGTATAATAATAAATATTAAGTAAATCTCACTCACCTCCTAAAATCTCAAGCAATTCCGCGTTACGATTATCTAAATTATTCTGGGATTCAATAATCATTGCCTATTGTAAAAGAAAAATACAATGTCATGATGGTTATTGCGAGCGCAACTGATCCATGAGCACAACCCACTTCTTGATGGGCTTGGAACGGATTTACATTGTCATCAATAGACAACTTGCATGTTAGACTAATTTTTGATTTAGGCAAAAAGAAGTAAATTCCCGTAAAGAACTTATTAAAATCAGTAAAATTGCAAAATTTGGTTACGAAATGTTGTAAAATACAGAAAATATAGCCTTACATGCGGAAATTGTTACCATTTTTGAGCCGAAAATGGTAACAATTTCCGCACGTAATACAAATATACTGAAAATATGCAAATTTCGCAAGGCTATATTTTCTGTATTTTACAACATTTCGTAACCAAATTTTGCTATTTTACTAATTTCATTATGTTCTTTTTAACTGTTGTGTTTGATTCCCTTCTCTTTACTTAGATTAAAATTTAGTCTAACATGTAAGTTGTCCACTACCACCATTTTGCTGCTGTAAATCTCAATTTTATATATTTTTTGCATCATGGAATTATATATTTTTTGCATCATAGCATCCCAATGCTTCCATGATTGTGAAATTATTGTTACAGTTTTGAGTAAGTTAGTGAGGGAGTGGAGATGTGCTAATCATCCTTACTTGCAGCTGAGAGCTAAGCTGAATTACAAAGGATGCAGCTCAACCTGATCGAATCGAAGGCTTTCTTAAGGCGGATTTCCATTCAGTGCAAAATGTTGCGCGATCGACTTTTTGCGACCGCTTTCTTTTGAAATACAAACAGTCAAGCGGAACAAATCTCATTAGCTGCAGTTGACTGCACACATTTCAAAAGAAAGCGATCACAAAAAATCGACCATGCGACATTTTGCACTGAATGGAAATTCACCTTTTGACACATGGAAGGGTCAGTTAAGGGCTAATCCCAACCCACTCTGTCAATATTCCGTGTGGGAAGAAGCTGGAGTACCCGGCGAAAACCCACCACTTTCGGTAGAGCGTTGACTGACTCTTTTCACGAGAGAGTCATGGAGTCCGAAGCGAGAATCGAACACGCGATCTCAGAAGTGAAAGAGGCGCCTTGCCCTGATGATTGCGCCACCGAGGGTTGTTCAGTTATTCAGCTATTCAGCTATAATACAGTTATTCAGCTACCAGTGCATCCCAGCGCACCCAGTATCCACTAATGCTTGTAGCAACCTTGCCATTACCTTTTGTAATTCTTGTGTAATGCCGTGGTAATTATCCGCCATATCACTCATTTCGTCTGCTTCAGGAAAATCAAGACACATAGTGGAAAGGGATTTATGGCTCTTCTGTAGCTCCTGTTGTTGTACACTGCCATGGTTGACTGAGGGAACAGATAGAGACCGACGATGAGCTAGGGGCGATGTACTGCCAACACTATTGGTCCGTTGATGTGTCTTCAGCAAACCTGCCGTATTGCCTGCTGAAAAGCTTGTACTACGAGGACTTAACCTGCCAGCTACCGCCTGAAAATACGGTGGGGGTGATCTCTCTAGAGACGTGGGCGAGCTTGTAGGTGATCGAGCATCACCATCCATTATAGCTTGCCAGTTTGTGTCGTGGTCCATTTTTATATCACCGTGTAAAGACGATACACCATCATTTTTATTCAACTGTTGGAAGAATGCTTCATTTCCCATATCAGCTGGGGGGCTGAACAACAGCTCTGCTCGTTGCTGTTGTTTCGGTGGTTGCAATATAATTACAGGTTTTACAGGCTGTTTAAAGTGGATTACATTATGTTGTTGTACCGAGTTAATGTTCGGTGTTGTTGTTATTGATTGTTGCAAGTGGTTACCGGTACATTTATTGTTGCAGGTTAACGCCGAGCAGTGTAGTAATGGGGTTGCAGAGATAGATACTTGACATTGTTGAGGTGGCGGAAGAGATGTCACAGTGCTTGATGATATTTTAACATCACTTGATTCGGTGTTTGTTTGCAGAGAGATCGTTGGCGCCTGTGATACTGATAACTGGTTATAAAGTCGTTGTTGGTTGAGTTGCTGGTTAGGCTGTTGAGGTTGTAATTGCTGTTGTTGTTGTTGTTGTTGTTGTTGTTGTTGTTGTTGTTGTTGTTGTTGTTGTTGTTGTTGTTGTTGTTGTTGCTGCTGCTGCTGCTGCTGATGTAGTTGTTGCTGTTGTAGTTGTTGTTGAAATTGTTGGTGCTTTAACTGTTGTTGTTGCTGTTGCAAATGTTGTTGTTGCTGCAATTGTTGTTTCTGTTCCTGTTGTTCTACCTGCAACTGTTGTTGTTGCTGTTGTATTTGCTTGAGTTGTTGTAGATTTTGTTCCAACTGCTGTTGCTGTACTTGTATTGTTTGCTGTTGTTGTTGTACTTGATTTTGTTGAGGCAGCAGTTGCACATGTTGCTGTTGGTTTTGTTGTTGCTGTGGGAGAGGAGAGGGTTGTGGGAGAGTTGGGTGATGCAAAGGTTGTTGGTTAGATAACAATGACGTCATTAGAACTGTGGGTTCACCAGGCGCTGGTTTAGGTTGTAGTGGCTTGCCTTGTTGGCTTTTCTTTAAATCTAATTGCTGTAACTGTAGCTGTAGATTCAGATATTGTAATTGTTGTATTTTCTGCTGGATCTCCTCAACGCTAATATTTTGCTCCATTTGGAGTATCTTTTCAGCATCATTTAGTATCTTGCCAGGTCTTATTGAGTTCATTAACTTAACTCCCCCTGGAGCAGAGGTTGATCGGGTTAAAGTCGTTCTGGGTGCAACAGGGACTGGTGTTGTCTGTGCTACCGTGGCAACAGTATTGGGGATGGCCGTTGGAGATCCCTGGGCAGCATTGGCCAACTTCAATCTTTCCATCAGGTTATTCTTCGACCCAGACACAGGCAGTCCCCTGCTTTTCAACTCATTTCTCAAATCAATGACTCTCATCTCTTCTAGTTTCATCGGCTTATCCGCATGCTGGTTGTCTGCCGGGCTGCTTTTCTGCACAGCAGGTAGCAGTGGTAAAAATGTCTGTGGGTAGTTTTGACAGAGGACCTGAAGTTGTAGATATAGTTGTTGCTGTTCTAACAGCAACGCATAAGGCGAGTCGGCCGGGAGTGTTGTGTCACTTTTAGAAATACTCGTCTCTGTATTGGGCGGACGGTATTCATGATATTTATATTTCTTAAATTTTGCTTTCGACGTTTTCTTGCGGCTCTTATTAGTGTCTTTGAGTTTCATATGATGCGCTGGTTGAGTGCTCGCAACTTGTGGAAAAGCTTTAAATGGAGTGTCACTTGGCATAAACTTGGGGGGAGTGGGAAATATAGGGGAGGGTGATAGCTCCGATGGGGAACCGATACTTGAGGTGTTATCTGGGGACAACTGAAATGAATCATCGCTAAAAGATTCCGGAGGGGATAACGCATTAACAATCAGGGTTGAATCTTTCGTATCCGAGTATTCAACTGCACCTTCTTTAATTGCATGGCCAACAAATGAACCAGGGTCTAAGATATTTTTATTAACGAGTTCTAACGGCCCTGGACGCATGAGCAGTCTCTCATTAAGGTCATCTTGCAGCTTTTTCCGCTTCAAACTTATCTGTGTTGCTTGAATTGAAGGATCAGCATTTGAGTCTGTAGGAAAAAGCATTAGATACTAGTCAGGTTTTAGACTCTCTTAACTTAGCCTGCATGAGTAGCAGGCCCTGGTATCCCTTCCATAAATGCGAAAGGATGGAAGGGAAAAGTATCTGAAAAAATCTCTTTTCCAAGAGTGCAACTGGCCAACGGACATTCTATTACCGCGCTGTCTCCTTATGGAACGAACTTCCAGATAACATTAAATGTAGTTAATCATTTAACATTGTTAAACATAAATATATTTTAGGAAATTATACATTGTAGCATTTAGTATAACTTAATTGGCTCTTAAATGTTAATTGGCTCCGAAAAGCTCCGTTGGGGAGAGTTCAATAAATTATTGTAATTGTATTGTAATTGTTAGTGCTAATTAAATTATACTATTGTTTATGATATATTTAGCAGTTTTAACTATCGATCATTACATCGCGTGAAATTGACATTTCTCCTGGGACGTTTTGATTGGGTACTATTAAAATATAAACCTTACTGTGGGCGGAGGGCGACCAAGTATATGTATTTTACAAATGATGCTCAGGCTATAGCTAACTCACAGCTGCAACATACCGATGTATTGAGCATGGACAACATTTAACCCATTGAGCGCCAGTGCTCTCCCATTGAAGAGTAAAATCGTTGGGCGTTAGACGCAGTAAAATAATAAAGTAGGTAACACATGGGTGCAATGCAACTTAATGGACTAAAGAATAAAATTATGGTTTTATGAACCGATCAGCAAGAAAACTGGATTTAGCTGGGAAAATGCTATGAAAACTGTTTTAGTTTACGACCTTCAGAGGCACTGGACGTCAATTTCTGCCATCTTGGCCTCACTTTTTCCACTGATATTACTCCATGTATATTGTATACACCGTATTATAAAGCTCACATGGAAATGAACAATTTTAACTAGAGCAAATTATAGAAATACATTGTAATTTCATCTGGGCGTGCACAAATTTCATTATACTGCGTAATCATAATAATTACATTGAAAATTTGCTGATTGCTGCCGCAGCGAGCGAGCCTGAAGCGAGCGAGCAAGGCAGCAGATCCTAATTTTGGTCGAAATCAAAATTTTCTATTTGGCGCATTGCATGACGGTACCAGTGAATTTTAACCGTGGTGCAGCGCGGTCAGGCATAAAGCAAACAAGCGATGTGATCATCTTTCATCTTTGGTCTTCTTTTATGGAAAGCCATAGCTGGCTTAGAGTGATCAAACGGCATTTTGTTGGGTGCTTTTAGCATTATACGGCGGTGCTTTCGGCATTATACAAGGTGCTTTCGCCATTATACGCGGTGGTTCCAGTATTATACGCGGTGCTTTTCACCATTTATATACGCGGTGCTTTTGCAATTATACGCAGTGGTTCGAGCACTATATGCGGTGCTTTTAATATTATACGCGATGCTAGCTTTCATTCATTCAACATCATTTCCATATTCTTTCCATGACATGTATATGATTTAACGATTGCTTAAATTTGGTATGTGGTTGACAAATGCTTTTTGCCTATGGTCTGCATGGACAATGACATGCTTTTCTGTGTATATAAATGAATATAACGCAACGAATGCGCCAAACAGTATAAACGCGGCTGAAATACGATATTAAAATCTTAAATGTGCCGTATGATTTTTTAATTATGTTTTAGAATTTACAAATGCTTTGTCATTTGTATTTATACTTGTACTGCATCACAAGGCAGTACGTAAGTGAAAAAATTCCACATGTGAGATTGTCAGTCATTGTCTTGTATACATTTTTGCTTTCTTTGATAAACATTATTAAACACGCAAATTTTAATTAGTGAGACGCAATGTTAAATGTCACCTGCATGTCATTGTCATTGCCCTTTAACCCCTGGTCTAATTGGCCGCTTTTGAAAATGTTGATCATGACGAACCGCACTGCCTTAATTATGCAAACTTTGTGTTTTAAAAACGGGTTAGGATAAAACGCGGATACGGACGGACGGATGAATGACGGACGGACGGACGGCGACGGACTGATGACATATATATGTCATTATATAGTCTGCGCGCAGTCGCGCAGGGTAGTTAGTGGCTTACGTCTTCGCTGGTTGTTATACTTTAAAATATTTTGTACCGATAAATATAATATATATAATTATATACCGATATATATAATTTTATACCGATAAATCAATATTCCGAGTATATAAATATATAAACTGGGATGTCACACTGATAGCTTGTTTACATTTCCTGGAGCATCATGAAATCTTATGTTTAACCACGGTGGTTTAACCCATTAGCTGGCAATGCGCCCTTCCCTTGTCCAACGCCAGACGATTTTACTCGTCAGTGGTATAGGGTACTGCCAGTAAATGCATGGTTAACAAACCTATCTGCCAATGGCTCTTGTTAATTCATCAACACAGTAATGGCCCCTACTTTAGTATTTACCCTGTCCAACGCCAGACGATTTTTAATACTCAGTCAGTGGTAGGGTACTGTCAATAAATGGGTTAACAAGGATAACAATAATAGGATGTTTCTGAAGGACTCGTTCAACA